AAACAAATCGGTCTTTTCTGGCCGTGAAATTGGGGATGTCACAGTTGGTATCAGAGCATTAGTTTAAGCAAACTAGGAATTTGTAGGAAATTTCTAGACTTAAACTTAGAATGCTAAGTAATGATTGTGAGGAGTGTGTCTAAAATATGTTAGGTAGTACACCTAAATTGACACAAGCACTAGTTTATTTTAGGAATGATGCCTAAAATGTTTTTATGTGCTAAATGTTTTGTGTGATAGCTATATCGATGCTATTATTTGTTCAGATCCATGGTCTGTTGCCGACCGGATCTGGAAACCTTATGTGTGTAGGATTCTAAGCGTATGATTACGATATTAGAACTAGCATGTAAACGTTTCGGAGTGATAAGGATGATTTAAATATCTACCGTGAATGAGGATCTAAATTCACCTTATTCGGTGTATAGATTAAAAATGGCAAGAACCAGAAGTGGAGCTGGAAATGCAAATGAAAACAGGAATCAACCACCTGTGATTGAGCGAGTGGCTGTTGTAGCAGCATCACCTGAGCGAATAACAATGGTCGGTGTACAAATGATGATTCAAACAATGTTGGATCGTCAGATGGAAGAAACAAGACGTCTACTTAGGCAGAATCGTGAAGAACTGTCAATTCAAATGGAAGAGCCCGAAGTGAATGGAGGGGATTCGGAGGGAGGTAGCTTCAGTGGGACTATTGGTCAAGCCAACCCACCGTTAGTTAGACAAAACCATCAGGAGGGAGGAATTGATGGACTTGGATGCAAGTACAAAGACTTTTTGACTTGCAAACCATCGAACTTCACTGGGAAGGAGGATCCTATTGGAGTCATGGATTGGATTTCGGAAATGGAATTAGCCTTTATGACATGTGGTTGCAAGGGCAAGTTACAAACCATATTTGTAGTGCGTCAGTTTAGAGGTGGCGCTGTTCGCTGGTGGAACACTCTAGGGAAGACCCTAAGCCGTAATGAGCCACTGCAACTGACTTGGGCAAAGTTCATGGTGCAATTCAAGCGCAAGTTCTGCTCGGCCCAAAATCTGCTAGAGTAGGAGAACAAGTTTCTGACATTGACAAAAGGCAGCATGTCAGTTGATGAATACACTAATGCCTTCACAGACAAGATGGAGTTTGCTTTGCGCATCGTCCCAGGCGCTCTGACTAAAGTTGACCGGTTCGCAAAGGGACTCCCATGGGAGTATGCGGTGCCAGTGCGTCAGGCACTTACTCTGGAGGCAGCTATCTGGGCTGCCAAGTCTGTTGAAGATATGATTAAGGGAAGAACCGCCAACAAGGTTGAAGTTGGCGAGAAAAGAAAGTTTGAAGGATCCTCAAGGTCCGATGAGAATAGAAATTTTCGAAGTCTGGTTCGAAAAAGTTCGAAGAAGAAGCACAATGGTGTGATAAGTGAAAGAGGAAGCACATTGGGAGATGCACTAAAGAAATGACCTGCTTCAAATGCGGGAAGACTGGTCATTATGCCAGCGAATGCACAAACAAAAGAGAAGCCTGCTTTAAGTGTGGTGAAGAAGGACACTTCAAACAAAACTGCCCAGGAAGGGAAGAGATTACAAAGCCAAATGTGCTGCCAAAGCCAAAGGCAAGAGCATTTCAAATGATCTTTGATGAAGCAGATGACAACACGAGGAATCAAGGATGAGGATTTTATATCCAAAGATCAATTTATGAAGTAGCAATGTGAATAGTAAGTTATGGTGTAGCCTATTAGAGGCATAGTATAGGGTGAACTTGAACTTTTGTGTAATAGTTTCAGGGAATTAATATAAACCCTAGTTTTGTTATTTGGTGTGTTGAATGATTGTATGATTTTCTTGTATGGTGACTTGGTCGACTGCGGGATAATACTTGGGACGAGTACGAGTAGGTGTGAAAGGTAGTAGATGCATATACTACCGGAAGCACAGGACTCGCACTTGGATCAGGAAAAGTCACAAGGTTACCAAGAAGCTAGTAAGTGATTCCGTTTTATTCGAGTATGTCATTACCCTTGTTTCGGTAATGACTAGTGAGATGTTGTTATTCCGACCGTAGTGGTCATATAAATTTGAGTTCGACTGCGATGAGTTGTTACAAGGTTCAGAGAACCAAGTTCGAGGTAACATCTGACGTAAGTCAGAAGGTTGAAATTTATGCGATCGTTGGTATCGTGCTCGTTGTTAAATAGGTTCATAGCTAGAAATGCTACAAGTTAAGATGTGATTATATCACATTAGAATATGAAGGAAGGTATATTCCATTTTGGAATTTGACTCTAAGAGACTTAGGTCTAAGCGTTGTATTATATGATGAAAGGTCATTAGAACATGACCCATCGGTCTGTTACAATAGATAAAGGAAAGTATTTATCCTAAGAAGAAGAAGGAGTCCTCAATAAGGAGTTGCTTTGTCCTCGAAAGTTACGATTGAAAAATTCAACATAGTACGAAGAGCAGGTGCAGGATTGAGCATCAAGGTTATTACTTAGGATGGAGAGGTAACGTATGGAGTCAATATACGAGTCCTATTTCGTTGATGATTCCAGGACGTAATCATCCTAAGGGGGAGATAATTGTAACGCCCGTAGATCAGGGCTAGTCAATTTAGAGACAATGAGCGTCAAAAATGACTTTTTCATGGAAGATTATTTTGAAGGAATAATCTTAACTAAGTTGTAGTATATGTTACAAGGATTTTGTACATATAAAGAACGCCGAAATCCGAGTTATAACGAAGAAGGTATGACCTGTCGAAGTTTCGCGACAGAATCGGCACGACACAGCGCGACGTAAATAGTGAATTTACGATAGAGCAAGATTTGGCCTTAGCGATCTAATCGAAAGTCGTAGAATACGTTAAACCGAGAACGTGCATAAAAAGAATGTCCAAATCTGACTTCGTATGAGGAAGTTATGATTTTTCTAAGTTTCGACTTAGCGGTATGCAGCCCGAATACTCGATTTGAGATCGAGTGGTTTTTAGCCGAAACAATCTAAACAAGAATCAAAGATCTTGTTGATAGTAGTGCAACGGTAAAAAGACAGACGAAAACGGACGTCAGATGAAGAAATTATGAATTTATAACGGAGTTTTCCTGTCCTGGCCTACTAAAAATAAATAATAAAAATAAATTCAAAATTAGCCGCCGGAGTCTAAACGAAAGTTGTAGAGCGTAGTCTCACCTACGTGTGGATATAAAGAACGTCGAAAACGGAGTTCGTATGAGGAAGATATGAGTTTTTGAAGTTTATTAAATAATTAAAGTTTAAATTTAATTATAAATTCCGATATTATCCAAAAGGGGGGGAGTCACCGGCCTTATCCACATTACGCCCAGCGTAACTTTAATTACGCCCAGCGTAATTCGGGGTTTCAACCCTTATAAATAGATGTCGAGTGCAGCCGAGTTCTATTGCTCATTTCTTTCTTCTCTCCTCCCTTCTCTCGCGTTTTTGCCTCGTTTTCGTGCAAGAAATATCCGAAGCCCCGGTATTCATCCCGAGCCCCGAAGCAAGTCCAAAGCCCCGAAGATCCCGAGGAGTAAAATTCCCGAGCCGAAGCTCTGCCCGCGTGAAGCCCGGTTTTTGGAGGAAAAATCATCCGGTTTCGTCGAAAAGATTATTTTAAGCGTCGTAGCGCTGTCCGATCATCTTCTAATCAAGTGAGTGTATAGTCACTTTCTTCTAACACATAAATATGAAGTATTTGCTATGAAATACGTGCTATGTGTTTATATATTTTTGTTTATTTGAGATGTTGGTGGAATGGATGAACTATATAGGTTTTAATGAGTTAAACTGTATATGTATTTTGTAACTACAAATATGTTGGGTAGGACATGGGTAGATGAGATCCGTGAGTATGGATCAGATCAAGAGGTTAGTTAGATCCGTGAGTAGGGATCAGATCAAGAGGCTAGTTTTAGATCCGTGAGTATGGATTAGACCAAGAGGTTAGTTTTAGATCCGGGAGTATGGATCAGGTAAAGAGATAAAACTTGTTATTAATCCGGGAGTATGGATTAAGACTAAGTTAATTGTCCCTAGTCCGGGAGTATGGATTGGGCACGTTATTGATCCGGGAGTATGGATCAGATCAGGATTAAGGTATAATTAATTGTCCCTATTCCGGGAGTATGGATTGGGTACAATTATCGATCCGGGAGTATGGATCAGATCAGGAGGTTAGTTTTAGATCCGTGAGTATGGATCAGGCAGTTTTAGATCTGTGAGTATGGATTAGGTAGTTTTAGATTCGCGAGTATGGATCAGGGGAAAAGGTTAGTTTTAGATCCGTGAGTATGGATCAGGTGAAAAGGTTAGTTTTAGATCTGTGAGTATGGATCGGGTGAAGAGGATAGTTTTAGATCCGTGAGTAGGGATCAGGTAAAGAGGAAAATTTTAGATATGAGAGTTTAGATCGTGTCATTGTGAGGATCGATGGGGTGGGATAAAAGTTGCTTGTATATAGTGAAATTGTATATGTTTGTGAGTTCTAACATATATATATGATAGAGCATTGTGGGTTGAAAACCCTATATGCTCACCAGGCTCCCAAGCCTGACCCACTCAGTTTTCTTTGTATTACAGGTAATGGCACAAGAGTATAAGTTGGTGGACTTGACGAGAGATTTTGGATAATAGACTAGTAGTTGTAAATAACTGCTGTAATGTCAAATTGTTCTGTTTATGCTTTTGGTCTGTATTGAACATGACATCCCGAGATTTTGTTATATAATGAAAATACGTTTCTTTAAAGAAATGCTATGATAAATTCATATCATATTTTGTTTTGGGAACAAATTCCGCAACTGTTTTCTTTAAAAGATTACTCTGATTTTAAAAACAAAGCATAAACAAATCGGTCTTTTCTGGCCGTGAAATTGGAGATGTCACAGGTACTAAGATGGGATCATGGAGATATTAATATATACCCTGAAGTATGAATGATATTTGGTCTTTGAGGTACTGAATCTATGTGAAATACATCACGTAGTGGTTACATGTCTCCTGAGTATGCAATGGCAGGGACTTTCTCGGTGAAATCTGACGTCTTCAGCTTTGGAGTCTTGAACTTAGAAATTGTCAGTGGAAGAAGAAATGAAAGCTTTTCCTATCTTAACAAAATTGTCAATATAATCGGATACGTAAGTTTCACTTGAAATATACCTGGTTTTTACATCCAATGCATTAGAATAATATGTAGTTTTGACTTGAAAAGTCGAATTACATGTAATTATTGGAGAATGTGAAATGTTTTTAGGCATGGGTGCTATGGCTAAAAGGGGATGCATTGATGTTAGAAGACCCAACTCTAGCAGATACTCATGGCATACCCCAATTATTAAGGACTATCCATGTGGCACTTCTTTGCGTACAAGAAAACGCATTGGATAGACCAAAGATGTCGGACGTGATCTCTATGCTTAACAATGACACCATGTCATTACCTTTCCTAAAGTAGCCAACATTCTTCATTGGCAGAACTGCCTCGAAGTCGACTTCGGTTGAAAGAAAGCTAGAGGCCTATTCTGTAAACAATATGACCATTACAATAATGGAAGCTCGATAGCATATCATAGTCTTTATTGGTCAATCACAGTTTTATTACTAAAATCTTATTGATTTTTTCTGAAATTTTAGACAAGTGATTTAATTAAACAATTAGATTTTTTTCTTGGTGCTTTTGATTGTCGGTTCGTGACCAAACTTGAGAGAGACTATGGATCATGATGCAAGATAAAAAAATTCATTCTTTCATTCATTTACTATTTTGAACAACAGTTACATATACACGAAGAAAGAGAATCAACAACCAACTAACAAACTAATAGAATTACTATAAAAAGACTAAAATACCCTTTAACTAATTCTAACTATATTAACTGAAAATGTAACTGTCTAACATCCCCCCTCAAGATGGAGAGTAGGGCATGAATCCTAACTTGGAAACAACTTGTAAATGCATTGTTGGTTGTAATGACTTGGTAAAAATGTCAGCTTGTTGAAGAGATGTAGGAACATGAGACAACGAAATCAAGCTTTCATTTAATTTCTCTCGAACAAAGTGGGTTGAATAGGTCACCGACTCGGAATAGGGAATATTGGCCCTTGATGGCGGGTTGGTTTGGCTCTTGGTAGTCAATGGTCATATGGACAATCTGCCTTTCTTATTCACGAGCCATACTGGTGTTCTTCGAGAGGAGAGGCTCAGTCTGCTAATTTCCTTACCTATTAGGTCGTTTCATCGACTGGACGATTTTTGTATTTATGTTGGTGCTAAGTGGTATTGGGGATTTGGCTATGGGAATGGCTTCAAGAGTCGAGTCGAACTCGAACTCAACTTGGCACATGGGTGGTATTTCCGAAAGGACTTCTGGGAACACCTTGGCAAGGTTATAAACCTCTGGAATACCCTTGATGTCTTTTGCTTCTTGTTTCCTATTTCTATTGTGGGCTAGGAAAGAGCGTGGTACCCCTCGCATGGGTACTCCTGGGTTTTGAAGCGAGAGACGATTCCGAGTTTTATGTCAAGTTTGTCGTTATAGATTGAATGGGTTTTGTTAGTCGGTCAGTTAAGGCAAAAGGTATCCTCGTACCATATGAAATTGGTATGGTGGGGACCAAGCCAATTCATGTCATAAGACGACGTCGGAACTTCTTATTGAAACAGGTGTTAAGTCGATTTGGAAGAAGTGATTGTTAGAGCAATAGTGCATTTTATGCGTACGTCTTTAGTGTTTTCACTTTTATCATTGTTGTTACTACTGCAAAAATTTTGTACCGCATTAAGCAAGTACTAGCAATACGAGTGCTTTGATACATATTGACGAAATTTCGTAGTATGATCCTTACCATATCCCTTTATAATCAATTGGTGTAAAATAGTCGCATATAATTAAGATTGAGAGGACGGTCGACTGAGTGACTCTGCCCAAAGTCCACAACCAGACAAGGAACATGAAATAAGGCGGAGTCACGCACTCTAAGTCTGTAAAGTCTTAATTATATATGACTCTAAAGTTTACTCTAAGCCATCATAGTTCACCTGCAAGGATCCTTAGTTTTTATATGAATAATGTGATTTGTTCGGATGAGGAAGCAAATTTATGATTATGCTTTAATTGGCAAAAGTTTTAGTAAAAGTTTTAAGCATTGAAATATTTTTATTAGGAAACGTACCATGATTTGTAGGTGGTTCCGGGACAATCTCTCCTGTGGTGATCCTCAGTATCCTTCCATCTCCCCCAGCATTCCTTGCTAGTGGACAGTCCCTCTTGAAGTGTCCCGTTTCACCACACCCATAACAAGCCTGACTTACTCCGATACCGGGGACCTGCGAGATTGGTTGCGCCCGGTGCCCTACAAAAACGGGCGGTGTCCCCCTTCCTGTTGTAGTTGTTGCAGTGCATTTCTCGACAAACTCCCGTGTGATGAAAGTTGCATTTGTTACACTTTGGAAGGTTTCCAGCATATCAATTGGTGGGTGCTGGAGTAGCAGGAACAATAGCAGCGTGAACTACCACGGTTTGTTGTTTCTTTGAGGACTCTTGTGATGATTTGCCCTTCCTTTTGTTCAAAAACTTCTTTTTGTTACTACCTTCCTTGGGTTGCTCAGGAATGGCCGTCATGAAGCCTTGGCGAACTCCATGATCCATGACTGTTTGTGCCAGACGCTTGGCGCTATCGAAAGTAAGTGGGTTCGCAGCTATCCCGTTTTCTTGGATCTGAGGAGATAGCCCTAGATGTACCTTTCCACTCTTACTTTCCGGTGTGACCATCCCGGGGCATAGAATAGCTAGGTCACTAAATCTGGCAGTGTAGGATGAAATGTCAGAGTCCTTCATCGTCAGATTCTAGAGTTCTTGCTCTAGCTTTTGCACCTCGCCCCTCGGGCAGTATTCTGCTAGCATTAGGTCCTTTAAGTCTTCCTAACTCATGGCATTGACTACCGGAAGAGTCAATGATTTGACATAGTTGTTCCACCAGGAGAGGGCTCTATCCATGAAAGTACAGGCTGCAAATTTGACTTTGCTTTCTTTGGGATACACACAGATTTCAAATATTGATTCTGTCTTTTCGAACCAGCATGTTAGAGCAATGACGCCTCCTGTGTCATCAAAGGATTTGGGTTTGGTATTCGTGAAGTCTTTATAGGAACCTCCCTTGGGTGTCCGTGGCTTTCTCCGTGGTTAGAATGGTTGGCACCACTACCCGCTCCACTGGCACCACTTGCGTGGATTTGAGTCTTGGCAGCTGTCACTACAACCTGAAAGACAGCAGGGTCGTAATGTGGTGGAGGCGGTGGTGGTGGATTTGTTGACGTGTTGTTGACGACGCGCCTGATTGGTCTACGTGGAGGCATCTTTCTCTCATAGAGTTTAAAGATGTAACGTTGGTAAGTCTTCGCTAATGGTTCTAAATCTAATGTCATAAGAACTAGGTTATCTTAGTTTTGTGAGTATCATGTTCTAATTTTATAGTGTCTTGTAAACAGTTCATCACCAAAGTCTATGTAAAATAAACTTATGAATAATAGTCACCCTCAAATGAAATTTCGTGACCTGATTTTATAGTTACTAGTTACGACGAAAGAGGTAATAAACCTAACACGTAGTGTGAGTAGTGTAGTCACCGACTTACGGGTGACAAATGTCATAAAGGATATCAGCGTCCGTTTCACGTCATGTCAAGTTTAAGTATGGTCATAAAACTCGCCAATAATACGACACTTTTACGTAATAATACACTGCTTACGAACAATTTCTTTAATAACATAAGTGTGATACTTATGCCTTACAGTTTCAGTACTATTAAAGCAACAAACACACGTACACCAGGGAAAATAAGGGATTTTCCCAGACTAAACTTCATTAGTTTACATGCTGGCGGTAGCCAAGGTTTCCAAAACAGAACATACATTACTTACCGATAATAACTATGGTTTTCAAAAACGATTCATACTTCACTTAATGTGTCGAACAAATATGTTAGAAAATATTAGATTTTTTGGAAAACATATACACATTATACAGATCTCCTTACAAATTTTCATTACAAAAACATGCTTATGAACTCACCAGCTTTATGCTGATATGTTTTCAAAATCGCTTGTATTCTCAGGTGATCAATAGACAGGTACTTCTTGGAGTTTTGAGAAGATGGAATATGTATAGAGCCACGTCTTTTACTTTTGTTATATTTTTGATGTATACAAACTATGTTTTCAAACAGATGTAAATATTCAGATGTAATGTAATGGTTGTGTTTACTTTGATTACTATGATGCAATTGTTATGATACTACGAATGACGTCATCCACCCCCAGACGTTTCCGTCGTTTGTTTTACGGTTCGGGGGTGTGACAGATTGGTATCAGACTATTCTTTATGGTGAACTAAGTATACCGAACCTTACATGGTATACAACTGTAAACACTAAGGGGCCGAAGCACTCTGAATTAAAATTATACTTTAAAATATAAGTATTTTACAAGAAGTATACAAGTAGACATACGTACCAGAAACAATATCATGAGTAGAACAAAACATAAGTAATTGGATATTGGAAACTGCGGTTAAACCTGGGCAGTTATGTAATCATGTCTAGGGTCAATATAGCCTGATCAACTATATTTATTCGAGACATGGCCAACATGTGCTTGGGAGTGACGGTGATGTTGTAGTAGACCTAAAACTTACCAAGTATTCATACAATAAGATATCAGTATAACAAGCATATAACATAAAATATTATAGGAGTATTTTTACTAGAGTCAAATACATTGCAGAGATTCATTTCCAAGTGTCGCTACTCATTCCCTCTAGCGATAGTTTACTTACTTTAGTAACTTTTCCTTGTTTATCGCTTAGTAGAACACTCTATCTATCAGGCTGAAATATATCTTGTTTCGTATATCTTGATTTAAAAATCTAGGGGACTTACCATCCTCTTCTTCCTGATTATTTTTAGAACAAGATGCCTCCCAGAAAGAGACCCAACAGAAAGAACAACAATCCCCCGACGGATCCAACACCACCACTACCTCCTCAGTTCGATCCTGCCATGTTCCAGGCAGCAGTTTCAGCCGCCGCGAATGAGGTATTGGCACAAGTTAACCCGGGCGGCTCGGGTGGATCAGGAGGTGGACCAGAACCCCAAAACCTTGGTGGAGGCCAGGGACACCAGAAGGAGTGTTCCTACAAGGAATTCATGAACGCAAAACCCAAATCCTTCGACGGCAATGGAGGTGTTATTGCCCTAACTCGATGGATCAAGAAGATCGAATCAGTCTTCGAGATCTGTGAATGCTCCGAAGCAAACAAAGTGAAGTTCGCTGCTTGTACCTTCACCGACAAAGCATTGACCTGGTGGAATGGTCGAGTCAAATCCCTAACCTTGTCGATAGCCAATGCCATGGGTTGGGAGAGTCTGAAAGAACTCATGCTTGCTGAATACTGCCCA